AGATTGGGAGGGTGGGAGGGGGAGTGGAGTTCCTTTGGGTAGATGGATTCCTTGTCTTGTAGGATAGGATGCTGCAGGATATGGTAGGTGGAGTCACTTTGTTTTTCTTACCAATTTGATTATCTTACATTGTTTTGACCAAAATTTAAAAAGTACAGAAGGGTCTACAATGGCGTTTCCCTCTGTTAACATAAAAACATTCAAACCTGTAAAGAATTTTTGTGAGTTAATTTGAGTCAAACTGTCGACAACTGCTTGGGAGGAAGCAGTATCTAAACGGATTGGGATAATGCTCCAGAGAATGGCATTTTTTAAATCTATTTTTATACAATGTAATCAAAGGAGGGGACATAGGTGGGTTACATGAAATCCATTGGTGATAGATTAGAGAGGCGGGAGAAAGCAAAGCAGGGAAACCCCTGGGATTGGATAAAAAGTAAAATCATAAGACACATACTTAAGTGGGTGCAGGATAGTTAACAGTCAACAATTAACATGATAGTAATAACAATGAAGGAATGTGTGGTATCTGTCCTGGCGCCCAGGGCTTTTGGTTGTGCCCTGAGGGGTCCGGAAAAAAGGGAAGTTACAAGTTACCCAGACATTTCAAGGATATGTTATCATAGATGCAAAAAGACAGACAGGCTCAGTTAAGGTAAAGGTTGACCTTGTCAGTGAAGATACCAGCCTAGTATGTAACTACCCACCATAACTGCTTTAAGTTAAAGTTTAATTTCAGACCATCCTTTGTGGTTACTTTAGGTCTCTGAGTTTGCAAGACCGCCATGCAGGCCTCCCCTGAGCTTGTCAGGTTAGCACGAGGCCGCTTTCGTCCACCTCTTACCTGTTCCTAGCCGTCCAGAACTCCATTTTGGAGGGCAGCTGTCATTATTTCCTGCCATTCATATGCATGTGTGTATATGTATACACACACACAAATAGTAGTAGCACTATTATACTATTCTATCCTGCTGAAAAACAAAATTTGAGTGAATTTTAAAGATGGCTTTAGTCAATGATTCATGAATCGGGCGGCATTCCATCTATCAGAAAGGAACTCCAAGGAGCTGTACAAAATGAAAGACGTACAGGCAGAAGAGAGTGGGTTGAGGAAGTTAAACTAGCAAAAAGCAGATTGTCCCAAGGTCCCAGGGGTCTTTCTAGCAGATTACCTCAATAGTGCTAACCAGGTCATTTCTGATGACTGGTTTAAGATTCCATTTCCGGGAGAGGCTGAAACTAATTAAATTAGGTATTAAATCTCATTTTGGTGACCCAGAGCTTAGCATAAGTGATTGCATTTTGTGCTTGTTCTTTTTTTTTTTTAATATATTTTATTGTTTTTTTTACAGAGAGGGAGAGAGATAGAGAGCTAGAAACATCGATGAGAGAGAAACATCGATCAGCTGCCTCCTGCACATCTCCCACCGGGGACGTGCCCGCAACCCAGGCACATGCCCCTAGCCGGAATCGAACCCGGGACCCTTCAGTCCGCAGGACGACGCTCTATCCACTGAGCCAAACCGGCTTCGGCATGTGCTTGTTCTTTTTTAACAGTACTTTTCTCATATCACAATATATCTAGACATTTGCTCCCTGTCAGTGTCTAGATCTCCTTTTGGGTAAAGCTTCGGGAACACAGATAGCATCAGGCATGTACGGACAGACATCACTCAACCAGGCCTGCCCATGGACAGTTAGAAATTTTTAAATAAATGCTGTTATAGTACTAGAAATCATTCCATATGAGTGGCAGTATATCATAGGATAATTGCCTAGCAATGGAATTTGTTGGGTCAAAGGGACGAGCATTTTCTAATTCAAAATATACTTGTAAGTTTATGAGAGACCATCTCCCCACCTCACAACTGAGGGTCGCTTCCTGAGAAAGCCTGCTAGGTCTGACCCCACTACGCACTCTGCTAACCTTCCAGAAGGAGCTCAACACTCTACGTCTGCCCCTGCACCACCCAATTCCCCCCCTTCCAACCCCAGCCCTTTCTGCTGACCTCTCTGAACCATAATCGCTTGTCAATAAAACCCCCACCTCCTAAATGTTTGATAAATGGCACTGTTTCCCCAGAGAGTTCTAAACCATCAAGTAGGGCTCAGGCTTTCTCCTTGGGAGGAGCCGAAGAGCCTGTGCAGGAAGCAGATGCCGGTGGGGAGCTGTGCCTGTCTTGTTTCTCATTTCAGACTAATCAGTTATTTATTCTCCGTGGGGACAGTGAATGGAAAGGGGCAGAGACCAGGGATGTTGGCCAGCAGATTTCCTGCCACAGGACTGAATGCAGCAACATCCTCCTCCTACCAGCGCCTGCAGAAACCTTTCCTGAGGACCCTGCTTTCCCTGCAGCCCAGCACATGGTAGCTGTCTCATCTTCCTGTCCCATCTACCTTGGGCCTGGAGGTGGGGTAGGGGCTTGTTTTCTATTCATTGCTACCTTCAAGCCTTAGTCCCCCCCCCCCTCCCCCCCCCGCCATCTCTGAAGCACATACCAAGGGGCATCACTTTCTCTCCAGGCACTTGGTCACTGCCCATCACTCCTGGCAGTTCTCTATGCTGCTTTGTCATCACTCTTGATCCAGCTTTGATCTCACTTCAGCCCCCTTTCTTTCCCCAGATCCTGTAGTTACGACATGAGCTCCCTCCAAACCCAGTTCTTAAGCCTTTCAGTGAGCACAGACCTGTTTACCTTCCGGTTATCCGATTCCAAGGTTCAGCCCTCATCCCCACCATTGCCCTCAGCCACCTCACCCCATCAGACAGACTTGGCTTTGGCCTTTACCTGCTCCAACTTCTGCTTACCCCCTCCTCCCTTGCTGCATCCAAGCGGGGAAGGGGTGATGAGGGGCCTCGCCTGTCCTCTGTGCTCCCTTCTGGGCCAGTATGCCTCTCTCCAGGGTGACACCCAAATACTGGCAAAGTTGCTGAACAAGCCTGTCTCAAAATGACCCCCTTGGATTCCACTTTTCCTCCAACTGTTTCATTTCTTTCTTGAAATCACAATCCATTACTCACTGTATTTCTCTCCTCTGAAAAACTCATCAAGAACACATCCATACTATCTCACAGGTTATTAGTCTCACTCCTACTAACTTGTAATTCTCTATACACTAAAATAGTTAATATTGTCTTTTTATCCAAAAATTTCCAGGCTTTAAAATTTTTCCCCATGTAGATTTTTAGAAGGTTATCATTTTTAAAAAAAGGATCTTAATTTGAGATTAGACTTTTTTCCATTCTGAGAATTAAAAAGGATCTTCTCTTAAATTTATGGTTTCATTTTCTAACACTTAAAACTTCGACCACTTGGGACTTAGTATAAAAAATGAGTACAATCTAACTTTGCTTTTTTCAAGCTGATAAACCCGATTTTGCCAGCATTATTTGTTGAAAAGTTTCCTTTCCCTGACATGCCCCTGGATGTCGCGCGCATTCTCATGTATTTGGTTCATTTATGGATTTTATTTGGTTCCAGAGATCCATTTATATGCCAGCAGTATGGTGTTTTAATTACACCGTGTTATAGGTTTTAAAACAGTATTCGACTATTCTTGCCTATTTGCTTTTCTGTTTTAACTTTAGGATCACCAGGTCTGTGTTTTAAAATAAGGGACATCTGACATCTTAAAATACTGCACAAATATAGGAATAAATCATTTAATAATGCTTTTCAGCCTGACTGGTGTGGCTCAGTGGTTGAACTTTGACCTATGACCCAGGAGATTGTGGTTCAATTCCTGGTCAGGGCACATGCTCGGGTTGCCAGCTCGATCCCCAGTGTGTCTATGTGTGTGTGTGTGGGGCGAGGGGGGGGGGGGACCGGGGGGGGGGGAAGAGTGCAGGAGGCAGCCCATGAATGATTCCATCTCATCACTGACATTTCTCTCTCTCTCTCCCTTCTTCTCTGAAATCAATAAAAACATATTGAAAAAATAAAATTCATATAGCATAGATATTTTCTTGTTACTAGGTATTATCATTTTTTGCTTTTATTGAAAAAATGGTCTTCCATTATATTTTGACTTTTCTGTTAATTTTGTGTTTAATTAAAAACTTAGTGAATTTCCCTTTTTTTTTTTTTTTTTAGTCATAGCTTTTCAGTTACTTCTTAGATTTTTCAGGGAATCATATCTGTAAATAATTTCACTTTCTCATTTCCAATTTTATAGCCTTTTTCTCATTTAAGTGCCTTTTCTTTTTCAATCATTTTCTCTACACTGTTTTACTACATTAACATTTAATTATAGTAAAACTTTAAATGATACTGATAGTTGAATGGATAAAAACAAGCACAATGAGAGGCACAGTATGTTGCTCACTGTGCAGCCAGACCAGTCTGCTGATGTTTTGCTGAGTGGCTTGTGAAAGCGGACAGGAAAGAATCATTACCTGAGAGGGTGATAGGCATTTGCCCTGCTTCTGGTTCTGTCTATTGTATTAGTAATGAATTTTAAGTTGCTAAAGATTTATGAGGAATGTCATCTGCATACCACGAAGTTTTATTAATGTAATTTTAAGGCCAATTAAACTAATTTTATTCAGAGTAAGTCTACATTAAGTTACAATATTAATCTCTAGAGACAGTGAACTTAAAATATAAGAAGTAGAAATCTATTTGGTGTTTTATAGACCATATATCATAGAACTCAAATGAAAATTTACAAATATAGAAATGATGATACTTAGAGGATTTTCATATGGAAACCCATAAGATGTCATATTTTAAACACGCATGTTTCAAAAATGCAGAATCTTTGAATAATTTAGCACAAAATCAAATTATATAAACTTGTTATAGTCCAGAAAATATTGCTTTGTTAAACACTTATACCATGATCAAAATTCCTTTGGTAGTTTTTAATAAAAATGAAACATGCCATTATGTAAAATATAAAGTAGTTTTAAATGTTATCTAAAAGTATCTTTGTTATAGTTACCATACTAACATAATCTGCTATTCAACTTCACTATACATACACAACATGAAACCAGGTGCCAATGAAATCCTTTTAATCTTTTGACAAAATAACCTCTGCTTCACAATAAAGACTTTAAGTCTCCTATAAAACATTTTACAGTGGTTATGGCACAGAGAATGACGACTGTCCCTGTGCGTGACTGTAAGAACAAAACCAAACTTTATTATATCATTCATACAAATACTGCAATTAAAAAAAATCAAACAGCAGTTACCCCAATGCAAAATACAGGGACTGCTAGACTCAATCTTAGAATGGTAAACACAAACACACTCTCCCCCCAAAACCTTAAACAGAAAATTCACAAATAATTCAGTGGAAATAAAGACGCTGATGGGTTCATTGCTCCAAACACATCAGACCCGATGTCCTCTTGGCACATCAGAGATCTCACCGAGAAACCTCATTATAGAAAAATCAGTCATTAAAGTTTAAAACTTTTTAAAAATAAATGAAAAACAGATGCCAGTATTTAGATTGCATAATTAATAAGCCAGTTTTTAAAACTGACTTTCTTCTTAATGTTCACCAATTAAGGGTTCTTGTTTTAATCTAAGTGTTCATCAACTAAAATAGCTTATCTTCAGGAATACCTAAGTAATCTCTGTAGCTAAAGAATGCAGCATAGAGGGTCTTTTTATTGTGCATTCATGATCACACACAAAAACAAACCAAACTTTCAGTTTTTTTGCCACAAGAACACCACCTTACAAAGGAACCTCATTTAACCAGTATCTTCTTGTCCAATCCCAATGTCATTCTGCACAGAGCAATGGAAACAACTTAAATGCCTAAAAGAACAAGAGGAAGAACTGGAGGGTGAAAAGATATATATGCCATTTGCAAATCCTTAAGCCTTGTGAAGGGTTATTCAAGAATCATCTCCTTTCCTTCGAATCCAAAGTATCTGTGCTGGCTCAATCCCAGAAAGCCCTGGAAACAGCACAGAGGTGTTTCACTGCTCTGGAGATACATTCCAGTGTCTCACTGAGAGAAAACAGCTGGCCGATGCATCAGGCCACGTAATGGTACTGATTTGGATTGTCTTTATCTCTCTCCATATAGTCTCTGTCTATAAGAGATTCAATTCTCTTTTTCAAATCTCCAGGCTAAAAAAGAAAAAACACACACACCCAATTACAGTGGAATTAAATTTGCAAACATAGGGGAATATAACATCATGCATGAAATATGTGATTTATAATTATGCTCATTTTACACATAATTATATAAATATACATATTTATTTGTAATTATAAAATAATACTAAAACTTCCTACTTCAAAGACAATGTTAACATTATTTCTCGATCAAAGTGCTCCATGTGAATTTTTAGGCCTTCCTGTGGGAAATATGAAACTTGTGAAATGTAAATACATTATTTATGATCACTAATGAATATATGTACATGGCAGATCCTATTAGGCAATACATTTCTGTTTGTTTGAAAGGGAAATCTGATAATGTCTCAAGGCACTTTCATCTGTTAAGGATATTTCTCCCTAAGAACTAATATTTACTATATATGCTATATTTATACAGTACAATCACAAATTCTGAGTGTTCCTTTGCTAAAAGTAGATGACTGAATTGATATATGTCCACACCATGACATGTCAGCCCAGGAAGAGCGCCCTCTGGCTCTGCTGTTAGGAAGCACGATTATGCTGACAATTATGAGCAAGTTTTTTTACCTGTATGTTCTTTCTTCCAAACATCGTAACTTTCTATTCAGTGATACGTCATACATTTTACAATATGTGGCTGAAACCCAATTACCTATCAAAATAGAACTAGGCGCTATGGGTGTATGCACACCTTACTTGCTATTTAGTCTTTTAATTGCTGGGCCTCTCATCTGCAGAGGGGAAAATCAACACTCTCCCTGGCTCATGGTCGGGAGGAATGGTGTATGAGGCAGTGTTCCATGACTGAGCAGAGCACGGTGGAGCACACATTGCCTCTGCAGAGTACAGAAACCCAATATTTGCCGAGGCAGGAAGGCATTCTCACCTGCCATTTCAGTGTCGAGACTCATTGGTCCACCTCGACTCCCTTGGTGAGAAGGGAGGGTCAGCTGGTCTTTTATCAAACTGGACAACACAAACTCAGGGTACTTCCACCTCAAAAGCACATGTGGCAGGCTTAGTCACTGAAAGGCCAGGTGTCATGAGAGTCCCATACTTTCTAGATGGATTTATACATGCTTTAAAGCTCTTCATAATGCTTCTCTCACTTATCCTATCCTGTACTCCATATACAGCCAGGACAGGTCTCAGTTCTGGAAATATGTTCGGACTGAAAGGTTTTAGGGTAGACTTTTTACTCAATAGCAACGAAGACATATTACTGAGGTAAAGAATGCTTTGTAGTTTGCAAAATGCTTATTAGTTAGCATGATCTCCTTAAAATCCTGTGATATAACCTGAATTGTTAAAACTACTGATAATGAATGCCCATTTCCATGTAGTACCTTCTCCCTTCTAGAGTGGGAATTTTAAGTATATCACTCCCATAATGGTGATGAACAACATTTGAGATAAAGTTCCTATTATCATCATTTGCCAGGTTTTCTAGACTTAGTATATACATAAAGGTAGATTTTTGAAGCAAATTATCACTTATAATATAGAACAAATGATATGATTCTGAAGGTAATGAGAATCGAACATTATTCGCCAATGGTTTGGCACAATGCTGCAGTTTTAATTAAGCCGATATGCATTTACCTTTACTGGAAATTTCAGCTGGTTATACAATTCAGACACTAGGAGATTATGACCCAGAGTCTTTCTCATCTTCATTATTCTGACGATGGCAGCATCAATCTGATACTGTCTATCCTGAAACACTCGCTCAGTGGTGCTGACTTGTTCTTCAACCTGCACAAAAAAGACAAATAGTGAAGTGTAAAGATATATTTTAATATTAATTATGTCATACTGTTGACATTGACTAGAAACTTTGGATGCCAAGAAAGGCCAAACTATAAATGAATCTTGTTCTGCTATGCATTGTGTTCTAATAAAACCTAGCTTCCAAGGAGTGCAACGTCAGTACCAAACATTGAAAAATAATTTTAAAAGTTATAGAAAGCTGTAAAAACCCTATATAATCCTGGATTAAATCCAGGAGCACAGTAATGAAAACAAAACATAGCATACTAGCCATCAGAATTTATTCCAGAAATGTAAACTTTTCTCAGCATTGGGAATCTACTAATGTGACAGAAATCATCACAGTAATTTCAAGGTTAGATTATAATCACCTTGATAAGGCATGACAAAACTGAAAATCTATTCTTGATTTAAAACAAACTTGAATATATAAGGAGTAATTAGAAAAAATAAAAGAACTTGAACAGAGTAAGAGCTGTTACCAGAAGCAAACAGCAAATGCTGATAACAACAACTTGATGGTTAAAAAAACCCACAAAAAAACCCAACCACAGTGGCTTAGTGGTTGAGCATTGACCTGTGAACAGGGAGGTCATGGTTTGATTCCAGGTCAGGGCACACGCCCGGGTTGTGGGCTTGATCCCCTGTAGGGGGCATGCAGGAGGTAGCCGATCAATGATTCTTCTCATTGATGCTTCTCTCTCTTTCTTCCTCTCCCTTCCTCTCTGAAATTTAAAAAAAAAAAAAAAATTTATTTATTTATTTATTTATTTTAAAACAACCTAATAGGAGCCCGCAGATCAAAGAAGGGTGGGGGATAGGCAGGTCTGTGTATGTCAAACATCTTAAAAACAAACAAACAGCCCTAACTGGTTTTTCTCAGTGGATAGAGCAGGGGTCCTCAAACTTTTTAAACAGGGGGCCAGTTCACTGTCCCTCAGACTGTTGGAGGGCCCGGACTATAGTTTTAAAAAAAACTATGTACAAATTCCTATGCACACTGCACATATCTTATTTTGAAGTAAAAAAACAAAATGGGAACAAATACAATATTTGTATTTGCATGTGGACCGCGGGCCGTAGTTTGAGGACCCCTGGGATAGAGCGTCAGCCTGCGGACTGAAGGGTCCGGGTTCGATTCCGGTCAAGGGCATGTACCTTGGTTGTGGGCACATCCCCAGTGGGGAGTGTGCAGGAGGCAGCTGATCGATGTTTCTCTCTCATCGATGTTTCTAACTCTCTATCCCTCTCCCCTCTTCTCTGTAAAAAATCAATAAAATATATTTAAAAAAAAAAACCAAAAAAACCCAAACAAACAAAAAAACCCTTAAAAATGAATGTCTGTTTTCCCCATATATTACCAGCCCTGGATATGACAAACTTTTAAACATTTCCCAAAGTGACAGATTAAAAATGGAATGTTACTTTAATTTGAATTTCATAAAAATTATTGGTGAGAGTGAACATCTTTTATATATTTATTGTTTTTGTTTTTATTTCTTTTGTGTAGTCTGAACATATTTTCTGAAGGCTGCTTTGAACACCTCTATGTAAGTAAAGCAATCACTGTCTTCTGCTGGAGGTGGAGAAAGTATTTGTGATACCACTTTAGATCAATGAAAGCTGCCCTTGGGTTGTCTGAATTGACCTCACTCATTCAAAAGGCCTCTCTTCAAGTCATTAACATGTACAAGGGGGCCAGCTGGACACCCTGTTATATAAGTGGGGTGCCAGGGGTGGGCCTGCCCACCTGGCCTGTATGTTTGATAACAGCCCAGGGGTGCAAGGACTTCTGCATTAGGAAGGGCCTGAGGGCAGTGGGCCAGAACCTGCTCTGGACACGAACCTTGAGAATCTGATCAAAGCTACAGATGCTCCACCTGTACACAGATCACAGATACAATGTCAGTGGGTCCTTGACACCCACAACTCTTACCACTTCCACCCCAGGACCCTGGCTGAGGCCGAGGCTGAGAGAATGGCTGAAATGTGCTGTGCAAAAATAAAAAGACAAGTCACTGGGTTTTGGACATGACATGCTCTCTCCACTAACAGAATTTGATATAGGAAGCTCTGATTTATCACACCACTTTTGTGAATAACTTAAATGCATTTCTTTCTGATTTTCATTCTTGTGAATATAAAGTTAACAAAAGCTAAATTAAAATGAATACTCTTATAAACACTGTATTCAAATTAGATACTTTAGAAATATACTTCAGAACTCTTACAGTCAAGAAATTATAAAAACCAGTGATTCCTTGGTGAACACCCTCCCTATAAGTAAAAAGAGAAAGTTTATACATACGGTTTCCTTCATCTGAATTTGATTGATCTTTATTCGAAATAACTTGTGTTTGAAATCTCCGTTAAAAATGAATTTGTCTCCATCTTCTACCTCCTTTCCTTTGGGACTTTTAATCAGAACTCGTGCTTTGCCACAGGCCAGTGACTGTAATGTTCTCCGCAATTCACTGTCCTCTGGATGGGGAGAAAAATGCAGGCACAGATTAGCATTAAAATGAATAATGACACAACAAAAATGAAAGAAGCCACTCTCTCAAGTGTGACAAGCAGAGACACAGTCTTAAACGAGTAAGTGTTTAAAAACAAGGGCACTCAAAAACCACACATTCATAAAAGTGTTTTCATACCTATCCCAGTGGCCATTTTTATGTCTTCAAAGCTGAATCCGTCCCCTTCATTGAACATGAGAAGCACCAGAGTCTGGAAGAGGGATACCTGAAACTCTTTCTTTCCCTTAAAGAAAACAAACATATCATGCATGAAGCTATGTTTGCACAATCTTGAAAACTTTTAAGAAGCTTTCTTTTGCTCTCAAACTTTGGGGGAGAGGGTATAAGAAATTACTAATTAGCCACCAAATAAGAAGAAATTATGTTACTAATTATACAAGCATAAAATGACTTGGTATTGCACTTAAAAATTCTTCTCTTGAAATATTTTTTAAAGTAGTAAAAAAGTTCTTTAGTAAATGGTGTTGAACAAAGTGATTATCATTATTTGAAGTCAGATGTTGCTGACACAAATCTAACAGCACCCTTGGGTCCCATTTTAGCTTGCCAACGTCCTCTTAATGGTTAGGAATGCCACTGGAATGAGTGGACAGGGCATGAGAAGGCCCAGTGACAAAACCTGTATGGACAGGGGAGCTAGCAAAAGATCCAGCTAACATCATTGTTAAAGAATGAGTAATGAAATAAGCACATAAATGATCATAAACTGTTGGCCAGTTTCCCTTTATATGTGCTTGTGATGTACATGACTAATATAACCCAGTTTTGGACCTCACACATGATTTCACACCTCTATTTTCTTTTTAAATATATTTTTATTGATTTCAGAGAGGAAGGGAGAGGGAGAGAGAAACATCAATGATGAGAGAGCATCATTGATTGGTTGCCTCTTGCATGCCCCACACTGGAGATGGACCCCAAAGCTGGGCATGTGCCCTGACTGGGAATCGAACCATGACCTCGTTTCATAGGGCGACGCTCAACTACTGAGCTACGCTGGCTGGGCCCCACCTCTATTTAAAAAGTCCCCATTATAGAGGCTTTCCACACATAATTAGTTCTGTGTGGACAACAGAGCATGCTTTGAGTGCTTCATCCTCAAGCCTAGCCATGGAAGGGAAGAATCACAGTGAGATCATTCTGCAGAGGTTCAGTTCTGAAGCTGGCAGTGAGGGGATCATAGCTTAACTTTTATAATACCTTAAAGACTAGTAGGTGTGGTTTTTTTTTTTTAATATATTTTATTGATTTTTTACAGAGAGGAAGGGAGAGGGATAGAGTTAGAAACATCGATGAGAGAGAAACATCGATCAGCTGCCTCCTGCACACTCCCCACTGGGGATGTGCCCGCAACCAAGGTACATGCCCTTGACCGGAATCGAACCTGGGACCCTTGAGTCCACAGGCCGATGCTCTATCCACTGAGCCAAACCGGTTAGGGCTAGTAGGTGTGGTTTTATGTGTATAACCCTGCACAACAAAACACAATGCAACATGAATGCATAATCCTATATAATAAAAGCATAATATGCTAAGTGTCCGGTCGCCCATTCAACCAATCAAAGCATAATATGCTAATGAGATGCTAAGGCTGCTCAACCACTTGCTATGACGTGTGTTGACCACCAGGGGGTGGCGTGAAACAAAGGAAGGCCCCAGCCAGAAGCCAGCAGCTAAAGAAGGGAGGCCCCAGCCCGTAGCTGGAAGGCCCCAATTGGCCCTGATCGCCGGCCAGGCCTAGGGACCCTACCTATGCTCAAATTTCATGCACCAGGCCTCTAGTTATAAATAATGCTGCAATAAACATAGGGGGGCATACATTCTTTGGAATTAGTGTTTCGGGTTTCTTTGGATTATATTCCTGTAAGTGGAATTGCTGGGTCATAAGGTAGTTCCATTTTTAATTTTTTTTCATAGGGGCTGCACCAATCTGCATTTCCACCAACAGTGCACAAGGGTTCCTTTTTCTCCACATCCTCACCAACACTATTTGTTGAGTTACTGAAGAAAGCCATTCTGACAGGTGTGAGGTGATATCTCATTGTGGTTTTAATTTGCATCTTTTCGTATGTATGTCCTCTTCCGAGAAATGTCTATTTCAGGTCCTTTGCCCATTTTTTAATTTTATTGTTTTGGTGTTGAGTTTTATAAAATCTTTATAAATTTTGTATATTAACCCCTTATCAGATGTATTGGTGAATATGTTCTCCCATTCAGTGGGTTGTCTTTTCAGTTTGTTGATGGTTTCCTTTGCTGTGCAAAAACATTTTAGTTTGATGTAGTCTCATTTGTTATTTTTTCTTTGGTTTCCCTTGCCCAAAGATAGATAGATAGATAGATAGATAGATAGACAGACATATATATAAATAAAATATTGCTAAGAGAATTGTCACAGATTTTACTGCATATGTGTTCTTCTAGGATTTTTATAATTTCGAGTCTTACATTTAAATCTTTAATCCCTTTTGAAGTTTATTCTTGTATATGGTGTCCAAAGGTGATTTAGTTTCACTTTTTTGCAGGTATCCAATTTTCCCAACACCATTTGTTGAATAGACTGTCTTTACTCCATTGTATGTTCTTGCCTCCTTTGTCAAACATTAATCATAAAGGCATGGGTTTATTTCTGACTCTATATTCTGTTTCATTGATCTATATGTCTATTTTTATGCCAGTAACATGGTTTTGATTACCATAGCCTTATAGTATAGTTTACCAGGTAGCGTGATTCCTCCAACTTTGTTCTTTCTCAAGATTTCTGTAGCTATTCTGGGTCTTTTGTGGTTCCATATAAATATTTTGGAATGTTTGTTCTAGTTCTGTGAAATACTCCACTGGTATCTTGATAGGAATTGCATTGCATCTATAGATCATCTGCCACTTATACTTTTTAAAAAAATTAAAAAAAAATATTTTATTGATTTTTTGCAGAGAGGAAGGGAGAGGGATAGAGAGTTAGAAACATCGATGAGGGAGAAACATCGATCAGCTGCCTCCTGCACACTCCCCACTGGGGATGTGCCCGCAACCAAGGTACATGCCCTTGACTGGAATCAAACCTGGGACCCTTGAGTCTGCAGGCCGACGCTCTATCCGTTGAGCCAAACCGGTTAGGGCTACTATTTAAAAATAAAACCCGCATATAAGTGGACCCACACAGTTCAAACCATAGTTGTTCAAGGGTCAACTGTATAATTTATAATAGTGTATAGATAATGTATTATAATAGCCAGCAAAATAGAAATCTTGTTTGTTTTTGCTTAGTGTACATAAGTTTATTTATAAAATTAAAGTTAAATTCGAATATGAAGGGACTGTTTTGTGACATGCTTCTTTCATTTATCAATACATTGTATGCATTTCCCATTTTAAATGATCATTTTTAAAAATAGCACTGCAGCTTTGTTGGCGTGGCTTAGTGGTTGAGCATCGACCTATGAACCAGGAGGGCATGGTTCGATTCCCGTTCAGGGCACATGCCTGGGTTGTGGGCTCGATCCCTAGAGTGGGGCATACAGGAGGCAGCCAATCAATGATTTTCTCTCATCACTGATATTTCTATCTCTCTCTCTGAAATCACTAAAAATATATTTTAAAAAACCATTAAAAAATAGCACTGCAACAGACACTTTTATTCATTAACCTGAGAAAAGGTCTTATTAAGATGAATTCCCAGAATTGAAGCTAATGCAACAAAGCATGTTTGGAGAAGTTTTGAGATACACATTGTCAAACCACCCTTCATAAAGCTCACGTTATCCCTCCCTCCAGCAATGGGCAAGAGTTGCTGTTTCTTTTAATTTTAGCCTTTATCAATTTCATAATCAAAAGTGGCACTTTAGTGTGTTTTAATTTGCAACCTTTTGATTGGCAGAGAAGTGGAACACATTTTCATGGATATTGATTTTTTAGTCTTGCTTTTATGAGTTGCCTCTCCACATCCTTTGCTCATTTTTCAATTAGGTAAATGTTTTTCTATTCCTGTTGACTTATTATTGATTGGGATATTAATCCTTCAACTGTTCCAATTTTATCACCTACAAAAGCCAGTGTTGAGTTATACTGAATATTTTCCTTTCTTTGCTACCAAAGTTCAATCACAATTTTAAAAATTGTTAACATACTTACAAAAATAAAAAGTATATTTAACAGACAAAGAACTTACTTCCTTAAACTCTGCTTTTAAAACAGCATGTCCCAATGTAGTTTGCCATTGAAGTTTTCGACCACTGTGCTTTCCGAGATAAAATGTCTTAAATACTTCCTGAAGTTTAATCATCTGTCAAGCAAAGGAAAACAATTTAATTATGCTAAACACTATTAATCATTCAATTTACAATTTTTCACAGCTAAATAAAAATATCAGTTCTGTTTTGACAGTTATTTTTCTGGATTCTGTTACCTGTGAAAAATGTTCACCACCTAGGACATTGGGGTTTTCCCTCACACAATGGGATAACACTTGAACTACTGTTTTATGTACAAACAGGTTGTATTTTGTAGTCTCCACACCCCACACCCAAGCTTCCGTGGCTGATAGCACATGTAATGAAGACCACAGCGACCATCCTCAGTGACGCTGTCTAAGGCCCAGGTGTACCTTACCAGGTCTTAGCTCAAGCTCTCACTGACTCCTAACTGCTCTTAGGGCCTTGGGATGCCTCATCTCTGAACCATGATCCGTGATAATGGCAAGACCTGGGCATCGAGCTGCTGTGAGGGTTAATATAAAACACTTAGGACAGTGTATGCATAGGAAGTGTGACATAAGCTAGCCATTATTTTCATGGAAGATTTCCTACACCTTGCAAACTTTCAGCCAGTTTTTTTAATGCTGATATCTCATTTTTTTAAAAATATATTTTATTGATTTTTTACAGAGAGGAAGGGAGAGAGATAGAGAGTTAGAAACATCGATGAGAGAGAAACATCGATCAGCTGCCTCCTGCACATCTCCTACTGGGGATGTGCCCGCAACCCAGGTACATGCCCTTGATCGGAATCGAGCTGACGCTCTATCCACTGAGCCAAACCGGTTTCAGCGCTGATATCTCATTTTAAGCCCCCGAGCTCCCCCTCCTCCTCCTCCAGGTGTCCCCTCCTTTCCCACTTCTGAACCTCTTCCTGTTTATGGACAGACTGTCTTATTCCTCTGATAGTGTTTCTCTAGAATGTTTATGTGCACTACATCTGTTTCTCTAACTTCCTTTTGCTCATTATTTTCTTTAGTTCCTTTCACATCTGCTTTACTCTGCATTCAGGATCACCAGTGATCTGTGCTGCCAAAACTAATGGCTCTCCTCAGGCTTCATCTTGTGAGATGATCCCTCTCAACAGCTTCCCATGAAGCAGCCTCCTGCTTCCTCCTGGTGTCTATGACACTCATTGCTTGGACAGGAATTCCTGTCTCTATGTCTCTATGTCCACACTTTCTGAGTCTTCTTTGGTTTGTCTTTCCACCCACTCCACACATGCTGGCATCTCCATGGCCTCCTTCCTCCCCCCAATTTTGCACCACTTCCACATTCTTCCTAAGAGTAAAATTCTTCCATGGCTTGCTGAGGCCCCTTTCCTCTGAAACTTCTGACCTCACTGGCCTCTCCTATGCCTCCCACTCTCGACGCTCTGTAGTCCCATTTTCCATTTCACTGAGCACAGTGTCTCATCCTCCCTCAGGCTCTCACACATCTCCTCTACCAAATCTGGGAAGCCACTTTCCTAACAATACCAACTCATTTTTCAGAACTGCTTCCTCAGAGAAGCCTTCTCTAACCACTCTTAGCTCTGATAATAGTTACTGCAATTTGTGAATAGCTCCTCTGGACAGAGAGCTGAAAGAGGGCAAAACCAGGTCTGGGATTTTCATTGCTCTGCACTTTGTATAAAATACTTGCAGATGCTGAGTGAATAATTCCTGCTGTTCCGGGCCTGATGTGCCCTTTCAGTGAGTGCCTCTGTTAGAAATGCCTAGCAGCCTCCTATCTATTTGGCAAACTCCTCTTCACGCTTCAAACTCAACTATACAGTCATACTTTTTCATTACCCAACGTCGACATCAAATCCCAGGCATGGTATCATTTCATTTCTAAGTATGTTAGTATATATTCATTTTTAAGTATTTAAGTATAAGGACTTTTTAGAAAACATATCTACTAAACCATATAACACCTAAATATTAAGTCAATAATGTGATAAAACTCAATGCATACCTTTCCTAAAAATTATTTCCTTGACATTAATTCCTAATATAATAATAATCATAATCATAATATAGCAACTAACATTGGGTGCTTATTATGTGCTAGTTTATGATTGCAGGCTCAAAATGGATCAAAAACCTAAATGTAAGCGCGAAAACTATAAAACTCTTAGAAGAAAACATAGAGGTAAAATTTCATCACCTTGGATCTGGCAATAGTTTTTTTTAGATATGATACCAAAAGTACAAGCAACAATAGAAATAACAGATTAACTGGACTTTATAAAAATTAAAAACTTTTGTGCAAAGGACATTATTAAGGAAGTAACAAGACACCTCACAGAACGGGAGAAGATGTTTGCAAATCACATACCTAATAAGGGTCTAATATATAGAATATAGAAAGAACTCTTACAGTTCAACAACAAAGACAGAAAACATAATTTAAACATGGGTAAAGGGTTTAAATAGACTTCTTCAAAGAAGATCTACAAATGGCCAATAAGTACATGAAAAGATGCTCAACATTAGTTCTTAGGGAAAAGATAATCAAATCAAAATGGGATACCACTCACACTCACTAAAATGGCTATAATCAAAGAACTGAAAATAACAAATACTGCCGAAACCGGTTTGGCTCAATGGATAGAGCGTCGGCCTGCAGACTGAAAGGTCCCAGGTTCAATTCCGGTCAAGGGCATGCACCTGGGTTGCGGGCACATCCCCAATAGGAGATGTGCAGGAGGCAGCTGATCGATGTTTCTCTCTCATCGAGGTTTCTAACTCTCTATCTCTCTCCCTTCCTCTCTGTAAAAAATCAATAAAATATATTTTAAAAAAAATAACAAATACTGAAGATGTCGAGAAACTGGAACCTTTCTGTGTTGCTGATGGTAATGTAAAATGGTGCAGCTACTGTGGAAAACTGGTAAACAGAATTATTGCATGACCCAGAAATTCCTACTTCTAGGGATATATCTAAAGAACTGACAACATCTATTTAAACAAAAATTACACACAGCAGCATTATTCACAATAGCCGAAAGTGGAAACAACCCAAGTGTCCATTAATGGATGAATGGATAAACAAAGCGTGGTATATCCAAACAATGGAAAATTATTCAGCCTTAAAAAGGAATGAAGCAGTGACACATACTACAACATAGGTTAGCCTTGAAAAAAACAGTTAAAGAAGTCAGACATAAAAGACCACATATTACATGATTTCATTTATATGAAATGTCCAGTATAGGCCAATCCATAGACAGAGAATGGATTAGTGGTTACCCAGGGCAGGGGGCAGTGTGTGTATGGTAGGGGTGGAATGGGAGTGACTGATTAATGGGTCCAGGGTTTCTATTTGGGATGATGAAAAAGTTCTGAACTAGACAGAGGCGATGGATGTACAATTTAATGCCACTGAACTGTACACTTTAAAATGACAAGTTGCCTGGCTGGCATGGCTCAGTGGTTAAGTGTCGACCTATGAACCAGGAGGTTACTGTTCGATTCCCTGTCAGGGCACATGCCCGAGTTGTGGGCTGGATCCCCAGTTGGGGGCGTGCAGGAGGCAGCCAATCAATAATTCTCTCTCATCATTGATGTTTCTATTTCTCTCTCCCTCTCCCTTCCTCTCTGAAATCAATAAAATATATTTTAAAAAAATGATAAGTTGTAGGTATATTTTACCACAATTTAAAAAATACAGTATGGTAAGCCTCAAACACCTTTTGCCAGAAAATAAAAAAGTACTCAAATATGCAGGGGTGTTTTGAAAGGACAAGGAGGCAGCTGAAAAGTGCTCCTACCAGCCAAATATGGGACAATTTTGGCATCAAATAAGTAAGATTCCATGAATTCATACTCATAAGGACAGAAAAAAAAATCGCTGCTCATCAAGGTAAAAATGGATTCAGTCAGGAATCAAGCAGGTGAGAGTCTGATGGGGGAAATAAGAGGTTTACATAGTCTTAAAATATCTCCCCACAAATTACTTAATAATCACAAAAGGAAAAATACCAGCAGTAGAGTGGAGAAACCAGGTAACACCTTAACCAAATGATTATATGGAAGCAAAAGAATAGTGTGTGCCTCTGGACATGATACTGAGAGGAAATGACACCTCCCATGTGGGATTCTGGTTAAATATGCATGAACTGAATCTAATCAGACAAACACACAGAGATAATCTAAGAAAACTGGCCTGCATTTTAAAAACATGGCACTTTTGCTGTAATAAATCTTATCCCGAGTACAACTGTAAAAAAAACAAAAATAAAACAAGCAAACACATGTAGTGTCATGAAAGAAAAAGAAAGGTTGTGTAGCTGTTACAGATGGAAGGACACAACTAAATGAAATATGGGGTACTGGACTGGATCTGATACCAAGAAAAAAATGCTAAAAGATATAGTTGGGACAACTGACAAAAACAGAACTTGGCTGTGTATTGATGAAAGTATTAATTACTTAAATGTTAACTAGCTGGATTTGACAACATTCTCTGGTTATGTTTTTGGGAAAATCCCACTAAAGTAATGAGGGTAAAGGCCCTGTCCAAGTAGCTCAGTTGGTTAGAGCAGTGGTCGCCAACCACTGGTGGTCCATGAGGTCTGAAAGGTTGGCGACCGCTGGGTTGAGTGCTGTCCCCATATGCCAAGGCCACAGGTTCGATCCCAGTCAGGGCACATACAAGAATCAACTGATAAGAATGCATAAATAAGTGGAACTATAAATTGATCTCTCTCTTCTCACAAAAAAATAAAAATACATCAATAAAGTATTAAAGATAAAATGAATCTACTATCAAATGGACCAGGAGAAAAATGGCACATATATGGAGAGGAACAGAATGATGAAGCATAAAGAGCAATGCTAAAAAAAAATGAGTGAAGGGTACTGGAAATTCTTTGAACTATTCTTGCTAATTTCCTATAAGTCTGAAATATTTCAAAATAAAATAAGAAGTGAATAAACTTGCAGTGCTATGAGAGAGGCACGCCCAGGGTGGAGTCTGGGGTGAAGTGGGGTGAGGACTCGAGGGAGTGCTTTCTGGTGAAGGTGACTGGGGAGATAAGTCTTAACAAGCTTCATGTGCTGGGGATGGTTAAGGGTGTGGAGGTTTTCTGGAGAAGGAGATTCCATTTAGAGGGCTATACATGGAGGCCTGAGAGGATGAGAGAAGTGGGTGGGTTGGGGCCTACAACTAATTTAGAATAGAGGAAGCATGACATCCATGTGGGCGAGCTTTGCCATAGAGAGGCTTTACCTCTCATAGAAAAACTGATTAAGGTGCTATCCCCATTTCCCACAGGATAAAGAGACTCAGGGAGGGAGGGAGAAGGGTAATGAGAGAAATCTTGGATGTCATCTATGTACATTCAAGGACACATATGCTGGAGGCTGAGAGCTGGTGAGGGCCAAGTTCAATGAAAAGGTGTGGAATGAGAAGGGAGCTGAAGGACGATTCTGGACAATGTTAACATTTAGGATATGGGTGGAGAAATAAAAAAAGAAGAAAACAAAAAGGCAAATGACCAGTGGGTACAGAAACAAACAAACAAAATCAAGAAAAGACAATGTCTTGGAAATGGGAAAAGCAGCTTCAAGAGGGACGATTTCTGACCCAGACTGCCAGCTGCCATGAGTCTGTACTTCCTTTCGCCCTTTCTGGAAGCCCCTTCAGCTGGAAGGCCCTCATCCCTGCTCATCTTTAATTCCCAGATTCCACGCTGGAACCAGCCCTTTTCTGTAACACCTGGTACTGTAGTTGATGGTGTTCCTGCTGTTTCCCCCACTGGATTTTAAATTCCTGAGCCCTGAATTCTCCCTCATATCTACATATCCTCAGAGAACCCAAAGTTGTGGCTGACAGATAATAAGCCCTCAGTAGTACCATTCACAAGACTTCTCTCTCCCCTTCTCCCTTCCTCTCTGAAATAAATATATTAAAAACAAAAAACTAAAACAACAAGTGCCTGCATTGATGCCTTCTTGATGGTTAGCCAATGGACATGGGTGAGCTGAAGGAGCTGTGGACAGGGACAAAAGCAATCATTTCAATTTTTGCTTGAGTGTATGATTTTTAAAAACCTCGCACTAAATAACTTTTGAAAAGTAACATGTCTGTGCATAGTATGGGTGAACCAAAGAAAGACATCTATAATTGATAGATCCGCCCTTCCCCCTACATTGAACCACCAATCAACACCTGCCAAATACCCTAAGCCCTTGTTCCTATATGGACCATACATTAAGCCACCAATCAGCGCGTGCCGAGTACACTACGCCCCCATTCCTTCCCATTCCTCCCCTCAAAAGGTTTGCTCACCTCTGCACGGGTTGCTGTTCTCCCATTGTGAGACAGCCCGGCAGGTCTTTTCCCCTAATAAAGCCTGTAATCATGGTTTTTGGCTCCTGACTGGTCTCTCAATAATGTTTTGGAAGTATTAATATATTTAAAACAAAGGATGAATAGTCTTTAAAACACTTACTTCTGGAGTTAAATGTACTTCCATAGGTGTATATGTTGGCCAGTATCCCATAGTAAGTATATTTACTGTTAGATCTATAGAGCCTGGGTCACTCTGATTCTGCATATACTAAAAGCAAAGAAAATGAAGACAAAATAATTTTAGAATATCATAAAAACCTATAAAAAGGCAAATGGTATTTTTGCCTTCATAATATTTTTTCTTTTTTGGTTATGTCACCAATATAAGATATCATTAAATTCATTTAAATCTAATTTTCATTATACATATTTAGGGATTATTTTTCTTTTTCATTTTAAATTTAGGTTATTTGAATATGTGAAACATTAACAGTATAATTTTTTTAAGGATGAGAATTTTACCTAATTTATGTAAGTATTTACATACTTTACATAACCATTTCACATAATTTAAAGTGGGATACTTTTAAAAAAGCTGTTATACTTGAAAAAAAAAGAACTTGCCTGCTTGAAATGAATCATGATGTCCTTGGAGAGCTCCATGTCCTTGAACATGCCTTCCAGTTTGCTGGTGAAAGCAGCACCACATTCTGGGACATAAGTGAAGGGTGGGTGAAAAACACCAGGAGCAACATGTTGTTAGTGCAATAAATTCCCAGCCCAGAGGTAGGACAGAACCCCAGATTCCACATGCTTACCATGCTTTAGTTTTGACAACATAGATTTTTCAGCATCGACTGAGGCACTTTTTCCCACAAGGAGTCTTTTTGCCAAATCTTTTTTATAAAATGCTTCAAAGACATCTTTACCTATTTATAACCAAATGAAAATAACATTAGACAATTGATATGCAAATGTTCACTTTAACTGCTGAAAAACCCTAAGAAATGCTCATTCTGATGCAAGCCAGCTCTAATTTCACTGAATCCTTGTGTTAAATTTCCACAAAGAAAATACTTTTTATTTAATCAAATATGAAAGTGGAAATGTTTTAGCCAATTTTTCTCAAGAAAAGATAGGGCCCAAATATGTATATATATGTTTTTATTATGTAGCATTTTCTATATACCCAATGTTAATAAGAACAAGAGTATTTCTCACCATGAATAAACCTGAATATTATCATGATTTTGTCAAGGATCCTCTCCAGCTCTTCATCTGTTGCTTCTTTATTACCCGCTCTCAATTTTGAATCAACATGTTTTGCTGTAAAATTAAGAGTTCAAATTATTTGAAAAATAATCATTTGTTATATAATTTGAAAAAATCATTTCAAATTATTTGAAAAATAATCATTTGTTATATGTTCTATTTTTTCTAAATAGAAAAAAAATTTTAATTTCTACAAGTCAAAATTGGACATTAACACCCTGGACCTTTTCCAACGTGATATTATTATATGACATAAAGGCAAATATCTGATGGTCTAAGACAGTGGTCGGCAAACTCATTAGTCAACAGAGCCAAATATCAACAGTACAACGATTGAAATTTCTTTTGAGAGCCAAATTTTTTAAACTTAAACTATATAGGTAGGTACATTGTTATTAACGTAATTAGGGTACTCCTAAGCTGGCCTTTGCTAAAAACGTCCTCAATCTGAGGGGTCGACCTCAGCGAACGTACCCCCACTTTTTCTAACACCACTTCTTCAAAATAGGCTCGCCCAGGCCGAAAAACGACTTCTGCGCATGGGCCACGAAGTTTCAATCACACTGTACATGCGCGCCCGCACGTGGTATTTTGTGGAAGAGCCACACTCAAGGGGCCAAAGAGCCCCATGTGGCTCGCGAGCCGCGGTTTTCCGACCACTGGTCTAAGACATGTCCTTTCAAATCATGTGAGAATAAATACTTTAATTACATGCTTCAGTTTCATGACACATTTTGCTTCAGGAACTGGAATGTCCCATCTTCAAGATGTGGTATAAGAAATTTGGATAAGACTCTTAAAGGATTTTTTTCAGGGCTTCATGTGATTATATCCATGGTGACAATGTCTTATCCCTGAATGCAGGGATTAGAGCAATTCTACTCTGGTTTCCTGTTTGACACAAATCAACCATGACCTGGCTTAAGGAAGGGAAAACCCAAGAATTTAATAAGCCCAGCTCCCAAGAGTTAAACATTTATCTTTAGAGAAACAATAACCCATAAAGTGGCACAAAAGCCAAATTAAATTACCTTGCGAATTTCTATTGTTGTTTTTATTTGTATTCTTTATATATATTTTTAAAAAATATTCTGAATATACACAAAAGTAGATAATTGTACAATGAACTCCATGTTCCCATCATAACACCTTCAATAAATAATAATCAACACAAGCCCAATTTTGTATCACTGTATAGATCCTTCTTTACCCTTTGCCACCTGTCAATTTTTAAAAACTTTTACTAACTAGTGAAATTCTGTGAATCCTAAATATATTTTGATGTTATCATGACATAATTGTATAAAGTAGTAATTTAAAAACTTTCATCTTAGAAATAGAAAACCTAAATAGACCAATTACTAGTAAGGAGACTGAATCAGCAATCAAAAACCTCCCAACAAATAAAAATCCAGGACCAGAAGGCTTCACTGATGAATTCTTCCAAACATTAAAAAGAAAAATTGCCCTAGCTGGTTTGGCTTAGGGGATAGAGCAGTGATGGCGAACCTTTTGAGCTCGGCATGTCAGCATTTTGAAAAACCCTAACTTAACTCTGGTGCCATGTCACATATAGAAATTTTGCAACCATAGTAAAACAAGACTTATATTTTGATATTTATTTTATATATTTAAATGCCACTTAACAAAGAAAATCATCCCCCAAAAAAATGAGTTCCCGTGTCGCCTCTGACACGCGTCATAGGTTTGCCATCACTGGGATAGAGCGTCAGCCTGCGGACTGAAGGGTCCTGGGTTTGATTCTGGTCAAGGGCACATGCCCAGGTTGTGGGCTTGATCCCCAGTAGGGGGGCATGCAGGAGGCAGCCAATCAATGATTCTCTCTCATCATTGATGTTTCTCTCTCTCTCTCCCCCTCTCTGAAATCAATAAAAAAATATTTTTAAAAATTAATACCTATCCTTCCCAAACTCTTCCAAAAAAAAAAAAAAAAAAACAACAACAGAAGAGGAAGGAACAATTTCAAATACATTTGCAAGGCCAGCATTACCTTGATACCAAAACCAGACAGGGACACCATAAATAAAGACAGTAACAGGCCAATATCCCCGATGAACATAGATGTAAATTCTCAACAAAATATTAGCAAAACAGATTCAATAATACATTAAAATGATCATAGTCCATGACAAAGTGGAATTTATTCCAGGTATGAAAGGATGGTTCTGTACATCAATCAATGTGATACAGTACATTAACCCAATGAAGGACAAAAATTATATGATCATTTCAATAAATGCAGAAAATGCATTTGGTAAAATTTACATCCATCTATATATATACTACTAAAAGCCTAAACGACCATCCGACTGTTCACTATGATGCGCACTGACCACCAGGGGGCAGACACTAAACACAGGAGCTGCCAAGCTGTGGTGACTTGGCAGCTGCGGTTCTTGGGTGACGCACCTGGAATCAGAGAGGAGGGAGTCCAATTCTGGGGTGTGTCACCCGAGAACCACCCTCTCGCAATCCGGGACCCCTAGGGGGATGTCAGAGAGCTGGTTTTTGCCCGATCCCCACAGGTCAGGCCGAGGGACCCCAACAGTGCACGAATCCGTGCACCGGGCCTCTAGTTTATGATAAAACTCTCAACAAAGTGGGCATAGAGGGACATGTAAAGCTGTAAGATTTTCCTAAAAGATCAGGAAAGACAAGGATGCCCATTCTCACCACTTTTATTTATTTATTTAGTTTTCAGAAAAGCAAGCAAAAATTTACTGATCACAGCAAAAATATACTTAGGAGAGTGAAACAAGGAAGGGCATGAGGAATAGGAGAGCCTAGGCTGGGCTACTTTGGCTCACTGGGAAGTCAAAGATTAGAGAGCCTTTGAGATAGGTTCAAGGGGTTAGCCCCTGCCCACTGCTCCCCTGGCTGCAAGACTCGGAGCCCCTTAGAAGTTAGGGGATATGTGCCTGTGGGGGAAGAGGTGAAAGGGAGTGGCATGGGCGTGCTCACTGGAGGGAGAGAACTCTCAACACTTTTATACAACATTAGAGACCCAATGCACGAAATTCGTGCAAGGGCCTTGGCCCTGGCCCCCGCCGAGGGCTGTTGCCTCTACCTCGGCCCCCATCCCCTACAGCTTTGTCTGGAAGGACGTCTGGTCTAATTAGCACATTACGCTTTTATTATTATAGATAATAGTGGAAGTCTTTGCCACAGCAATTAGGCAAGAAGAAGAAATAAAAGGCATCCAAATAGAAAAGAAAGAAAATTGTCACTATTGGCAAATAAGATACCATGTAAAAACCTAAAGATTTCACCAAAAAAAAAGTTAGAATAAATTAATCCAGTACAGTCACAGGACACAAAATCATTACACAAAAATCTGTGGCTATATTCTAATAATAAACTATCAGAAAGAGAACTTAAGAAAACAACCCTATTTACAATTATATAAAAAACAATACAAAGTATAGAAATAAACTGAACAAGCAGTGAAAGATCTGTACACTAAAAACTATTAGATACTGATAAAAGAAACTGAGAGGACACAATGGAAAGATAGTCTATGCTCATGAATTGGAAGAATTAATACTTTTAAAATGTCAATACTACCTAAAGCAATCTATAGGTTCAGTGTAATCCTTATCAAAATTCCAATGGCATAGTCACAGAACTAGAACAAATAATACTAAAATTAGTATGCAACCACAAAAGATCCCGAATAGCCAAAGCAATCTTGAGGAAGAACAACGAAGGGGGTTGTATCATGCTCCCTGGTTTCAAAATATACTACAAACCTACAGTAATCAAAACAATATGGTATTGGAACAGAAACACACACACAGGACAATGGAACAGAATTGAGAGCACAGAAATAAACCACATATACAATTTATGACAAAGGAGCCATGAATATACAATACTGGAGAAAGGACAGAATCTTCATTAAGGAATTAAAACACAAGTTACAAACTGGGAAAAATGTTTGCCAACCATATGTCTGATAAAGGAGGACTCATATACAGAGAGTGCATTTATATTTTAAAAAACCTGTTTCATCTCAAAATATGTTCTTTTGAGATCCCATCCAATTTAATCCTATTTTAATACTAATCAGAGAATGCAAAGATAGTGACTAATAGTATCTCATGTTAAATATTATCTGGAGATTGATAAAGGTATCATCATAATACAGAGGCATCCTATACAACAAACTTCAATCCAATTTCTGAGCAGAAATTACAAGTAATCAAGTCAGAGGTTCAAGGTTTATTTCTATAAACTATAGATCTGGGACTGTTAGAACAGGAAATGCAGACTAGGCTAAATCTTTGTCCCTTTTTTATTTTTCTAACTTATCTTTATTATTGAAAGTATATAGATGTCCCCTTCCCCATCCCCGTTTACCCACTCCGCCCTCTCCAGCCCCTCCCCAGGCCTTCACAGCACTATTGTCTGTCCATGGGTTATGTAAGTTCTTTGTTTAATCTCTTCCTGCCCGAACCCTCCTTCCCTCTGAAATACTTCAGTCTGCTCCATGCTTCTATGTCTCTGGATCTATTTTGTTCATCAGTTTATTAAGTTCATTAGATTCCACATATAAGTGGGATCATGTGATACTTGTCGTTCTCTGACTGGCTTATTTCACTTAGCATATTACTCTCCACATCCCTTCATGCTGTCTCAAAGGGTAAGAGATCTTTCTTAGAGCTGCATATATTCCATTGTGTAAATGTACCACAGCTTTTTTAACCACTCATCTACTGATGGGCACTTGGGATGTTTCCAGATCTTAGCTATTGTAAATAATGCTGCCATGAACATAAGGTTGCAGATATTCTTTCTGATTGGTTTCAGGCTTCTTAGGATATATTCCTAGAAGTGGAATTACTGGGTCAAATGGCAGTTCCATTTTTAATTTTTTGAGGGAACTCTACACCGTTTTCCATAGTGGTTGTACCAGTCTACATTCCCACTAACAGTGTACTACAGTTCCTTTTTCCTCCACATCCTTGCCAGCACTTATTATTTGTTGATTTATTGATGGTAGCCATTCTGGCAGGTATAAGGTGGTACCTCATTGTCATTATCATTTGCATCTCTCTTATAATTAGGGATGTTGAGCATTTTCATATGTCGCTTGGACATATTGTATGTCCTCTTTGGAGAAGCATCTATTCAGGTCCTCTCTCCAGTATTTTTTTTAAATATATTTTTATTGATTTCAGAGAGGAAGGGAGAGGGAGAGAAAGAAACATCAATGATGAGAGAGAATCATTGATTGGCTGCCTCCTGCACACACCTACTGGGGATCGAG